CGAGGGTACATCAATAGATCAATAATCGTCTGTAATGATTTTGAAATTAAGGCAGGTTGTGTGCAGTGTGCTTGACAATTAACAGTCTCTCCAATCACGTCTAACTATTTTTTTGCCTTGGCAAAGTGTGCTTTCCTTTTACTTTTGCCTAATTCAGCTAAGATATTTGCAAGTATATGATACCAATTTTAACTTGGATACTTGGATGTTGGTTCTGTGGCAGATAGTTTTCCGTGAGAATTTTGGAACTGAAGGTCGTGGTGGATATTTTGATCAGTATGGGTATGTGTGGTGAATTGTCCCTAATTAATTTGCTTAAGATGTTGTCAAATGACAAGTTATGGCAACTATCAGTTCTGAGATGAAGAACATTAAGAAAACAAGTCTTGAGTACTTCAATTTTATTTTCATATCAAATATTGAGATCAGGCTTCTAAATGTTATCTCAAATGCCTGCTGTTATTTGTGTTGTTGACTTGTTTTGTATTGAATAGCTATTTCATGGCTAAAACTATGACTAATTAATTCATGACTTCTATTTGACAGGATTATTCGAGATATTATTCAAAACCATCTGCTGCAGGTGAGGCTTTCATATTAACTGAAAAAAATTTCATTTATATTTCTGCTACCACCAAGTTAGATTGTCAAGATGATACTTCTGTCCAACAAGTGGATGTAATAATATTACATATATTTCCTCCTATTCTAAGTTTCAATCTTATTTTTAAAGCATTAGTGCACTTCGCCACTTACATTGCATTATCTTATCTATGAGGTTCCACAACCTTGTTAGATCATAAATTTGTGTATGTTGATCATTAATTTTCTACCTACTCAGGTTTTCTGCCTGGTCGCAATGGAAAAACCTATTTCTCTCAAGCCAGAGCACATTCGTGATGAGAAAGTGAAGGTGTGTGTCTGTTCATTCTATTTAAAATGGGTCTCTGTGTTCCTCTATCCTACTTACTAGTTACTATGTTAAGTGCAGGTTCTTGAATCAGTCCTTCCTCTTAAAGATGATGAGGTTGTTCTTGGACAATATGAAGGCTACAAGGATGACCCAACTGTACCTGACCATTCAAACACTCCAACATTTGCTACTGTTATTCTGCGAGTACACAATGAAAGATGGGAAGGTATGAGAGAAATTCCTGCTTTTGTTTCTGAATAAACCCAATTTTTTGGACCTTTCTTTTACTTATTTTTTCTAAATGATGTGGATAAATATTGCGGAGATAACCCATATTCATTTTAGTGTTTATTTTCCATTCTATGGTATAGATCTTTGTTCATTTGATCAATCAAATAACGTTTGACACATCTTCACACCAAACTTTTCGCCCCTCAGGTGTTCCTTTCATTCTAAAGGCAGGGAAGGCCCTAAATTCAAGTAAGGCAGAGATACGGCTTCAGTTCAAGGATGTTCCCGGTGATATTTTCAAGTGTATGTCACCAGACCTTTGGATATGTATCTTATGTTATGAACGCTTAATTGATCTTGAGCCTGAATGTGGAATCAGAGAAATCATAGAACCCATCACTCTGAAAGCTATGATACTTCCGTGGAGCTCATGTTTTCATTTTGGTGTCCATAGTATTTTCATGAATGCACGGACAATCCTTGTGCTATTGAAGCATGAACTGAAACTGTCAGTGGGTGTTGCGATAGTTATTTTCAAACATATTTCATGCACTAACTTGTCTGTACATTTAAGTATGTCATGCTGGTGAAAATTTAAAAGTTTAAAGGCGTTGGACATCTTTATAATCCATGAACAGAAAGGTGAAAAATAGAGCTGCTTGTGCTTTTTACTAATCGTTAGGTAGGTTTTATTCTTCCATGTTGGCTTAGGCATAAACCTCAATGTAAAATTTTTCAGGTAAAAAGCAGGGCAGAAATGAGTTTGTTATACGACTGCAGCCTTCAGAGGCTATTTACATGAAGCTTACGGTGAGTCATTCTTTTTTGATAACTTGTTATAAGAATAATTCTACCGATTCCAATAACAGTGAACTGACTGGTTCATTGTCTCTTGTAGGTCAAGCAACCTGGGCTGGAGATGTCAACTGTGCAAAGTGAACTAGACTTGTCATACAGGCAGCGTTATCAAGGTGTCACCATCCCAGAGGCTTACGAGCGTCTAATTCTCGACACGTACTATCCTTTATCCAAAGTTCATGTTTATGCACTGTTAATCTATTTTTATGCATGACACAGACGTGCAAAATTCCCCAAGCTTAGACTACTGAAGTACTAGGATTTAGTCAATAAAATTTTTGGCTTAAAATGGGAATCTGTATTTGTTTTTCAGAATAAGAGGAGATCAGCAGCATTTTGTTCGAAGAGACGAGTTGAAGGTAAGATCATCGCATGAGTTGTTTTGCTAATACTGCAATAAAAGAGATTTTTGAGTCCTGATTCTTGATTCCTAACCTTATATCTACTGGTTTGTTCTGTGTGTGATATTAGTCATCGTGGGAGATATTCACGCCACTTCTGCACAAAATTGATGAAGGGAAGTTCAAGTCAATCCCTTACAAACCAGGAAGCAGAGGTCCTGCAGAAGCTGATGAGTTGCTTGAAAAAGCAGGCTATGTTCAAACACACGGTTATATATGGATCCCACCCACCTTATAGAGTGCACATTTTGAGGCTGTTCTGGGGCTTACACAACAATAAGTTTTATAATGTTGTATTATGAAGCGACTTTCTTGTATTGTGTGTGTTCATAAAAAGCAGGCGAATAAAATTTACAAGAGCTTGACACAGTTTGTATGGCGTGAGAATCAGCTGATTAAGTAGTTGGCTTAAACTCTCACTCAATCCTAATAAAACTCAGTTTCTTACTGATCAACAGCTTTGCTACTGTCTTCGATATTCTTGTAATCTCCAACTCAACATGGTTATTTGCTTGGGAAAATTATATCTAGGTTTCACAAAAAAAAAAAAAATTATTACTAAGAGGTTTTATAAAATTAACAAAATACTCCTAAGCATTTGCAATTTAATAAAGAGCATTTACAATTTATGAAGAAAAATGATAATTTATAATAACAAGTTGTAAATGTCTGTTGTCCAGTAGTAAACACACGGAATTTTAAACTTTAGAGTATTTTATAAATTTTATGAGATTTTTTGATAATAAATTTTTTTCCGTAAGACCTAGATGTAATTTTTCTTATTTTCTTTCAGTATTTCAAGAATAATTCAATTTGATGAATGGATAAACGTAATATTTTTTTCAAGCATCAAATTAGACTTTTTAACCTTTAATGTGAGGAAAATATAAAATGAGTTAAAAACGAAAATAAAAACTGCACGAGACTCAACAAATTATTCGAAGAGCACTTCTTGTAACTTGTATAGATACAGTGATAGTGATTGAGGATTTTATAAGGACCATGAATATTTTTGGCAGCATTACGAGTTTTATTTTGCCATGATCAATATATACAGAAGCGTTTGCATCAATTCCTCACTCTGTTTACTGGCCGGGCACCAAGAAAAGAAAAGGAGACTTCACCAAGAAAAGAAAAAGAGACTTTTGAGCTTGAGAAGACCGAGTGAGTGAGAAGAGAGCTTTCAAGGTCAACAGTGATCTCCGCTAGACTTTAAGTACTAAGTCTGCCTCAAAGTGACGAGTAACTTTTAAACAGAATCATAATCAATCTTCTTATTGAATGCCACTCTGTTTCTGGCTAATCGAGAATCGTCATCTATCACTAACATAAATAAATTATATGGAGAATCACGACTTTAGGATAGATGTAGTGTTCCAAGTATTTCTGGCTTATCTCTGTAACGTCGCCAGATACTTGTACAAGACAATTCAAGGTCTGCTGAGGAGAATTATATTTTCCCATTCAAAACAAAAACTATGCCAGTCTATTAATAATTCGAGATAAATGTTTACGTACAATCTATATCTACTTTTATACTATACATTAATAATTTCCTTTTTCTATACAACTAAATTTGAATTTTAATTTTCTTATATTTTTTTACAATGTATTTTTTATAATTTTTAAAATTTTGAGCTGCTCACAATGAAAATGTTAAAATATACTTTTAATCATCTAATTTTATATAAAATTTTAATTCAGTTTCTTAATTTTATAAAATATTTTTTTAATCCCTTAACATTAACATCATTAGTTTTATAAACAAAGAATTCCTATATCAAACTTTTAAATGTTGATAAAATATTTTTAAATATAGACATCTTAAATTTAATTTTTTAAAAGAATAGTGATTAGTATAAAAAATAATTATTTAAAATTAATGGTGTTAAGATTAAAAGATTAAAAAAATATTTTATAAAATTAAAGGATTAAAAATTTTTTTTATATAAAATTAAATGATTGAAAGTATACTTTAACCTAATAAAAAATAATTATTAAAAAACCAGTCTATTAAGAATGTGGGCCTGTACTTTATATTATCATTATCATTATTTTATCAAAAAAAATTATTATCATTATATTAATTTTTTTAAAAAAAATTACAATCAAGTTTCGTATAAAAAAAGTAATTATTATAAGACCTATCTACTAAATGTCATTGACAAGTAATTCTCTCATTTTTTTGGGCCAAATCATTATATTAACTTATGAATAATATAATTATAAGAGGCTATACTAAATACATTAAATACTACATTAGACATTTAGACTTTAAGCCAAGTTTTTTTTTTAAAAAAAAGGAAAAAACTGTTAACAACACATGAATGTTGCATTTTTTGTATAAATATACAAATACAGAAAATATGACAAAAATACGCGGTTAACAGACGGTTAATATACCGACCTCCGTGATTTCGGAGAAGCAATAACAAAAAATTATGGAAATGATGAAGGAATTGAAAGTCAATCCAATCTAATCCGAAGGCCATAGTCACGAACTCGAAATCTTTGATTGGCTGCTTTCTCAATCGCATTTGTTCCTACTCCTACACGCGTCTCTCTGTTTACTCACTTCTCGACCCGCCTCATTCTCCCTCCCTTTCTCTCTCCTATTTTTGAGCTTAAATTCTCCGTGCCTTCCAAATTCCAATTCCCTCTCTCCCCTCACATTTTGCTCTACCTCCCTCCCTCCCTCCATCGTCTTCCCTGGATTGTGTTGTTGCATGAGTGGGGTGGGTCAAACCCTACATTCTCCTGTCCAAACCATTTTTTCTGCTAATCTTGTATCTCTCGCGGCAAATCCAACTTCCCGAACTCTCTTGCTATTCTATACTTCCCTTTTATGGCGTCTCGATACTTTCTGCAAACTCTAGATCTAGGAATGAATTGATTAGGTCCCCTACCTTCCTTGCGCTCGTCATTATTCTCATCTCTTTGTAGCTTCGTATCTTCTTTTCCGCCATATTCTATTTGTTCGTTGCGTTCGAGGTGTGATTTTTTGTTTTCCCTTCAACCCAATTGGAAAACTGAAAGCATGGGTATTGCTGATTAGGCTGCCCAGATTCAGGAACCATGCATTTAGTGTATGTTGGTCGGGTGAAAAAGGGTCTCTTGTACCGTACATAATTGGGTTTTCTGTTTTTCCTGGGCAGTAGCATCTGTCCGCATCGAAATGGGGTTTTCCTTTGGGCTTATAATCTTGTAATAGGGTTTCGGTGGAATTCCGCTTAGGTGCTGAGACTATCTTTAGAAAATGGCTCTGAATTTTTCCTGTGATTTGAGCTTTCCGGCTTCGCCGGAGAAGAGTGCGTATCGGTCAATCGGGCCAGTCGTCGATGGCTATTTGCTCAAGAAATCTGGTTGTTTTGGTAATTCTTGGAGCTTTTGTAGTTTCAATAAGGCATTGGAAGATAACCCATGTGGTGAATTAGTCAATGCTGATTTGGGGGATTTCGGTGACCCGGCGGCAGTGGTAGTTGATGATATTCTTGATCGCTTGCCCAGGGATCCATTTGGCATGAACATAATGCAGTCTACCTTCCCAGAAATCTCGGATTGGATTCAAGATTTTGATTGGCATTTCCCGTCAGAGTATGATGTCTTTGGGGTGGATGAAACTCATACAAAGATTGACTGTAAACTTTTTGCGGGTCTATATTGGGGTTGGAATGGTGCTGGTGCTGGTAGTTTCCCTTCCGGAGGCAACGACGATGCCAATGAAATGTCTGTTTCAGATGAAGTTTTCGACAGATTTCAGATTTTTGATTGGTTGTTTGATAGCGGCCTCGTATCAGATGGAAATGTGGAGACGCTTTTACCAGCTAGTCAGGGAGACGGCAGGGTTTCGAGCGGTGAAGCTGAAGTGCAAAATTCAACCAAAATTGATTATGATGGTGAAGCAGGTAGTCCACATGATGCTATGCGTTTGGTGTTGAATTATCTAGGTGTCTCGGACCTTCTTTCAGTTGAACAGGTTTGCACTTCTTTGCGCGATTGTGTTAAAGCTAATCCTCTGTTATGGTGGAGTATACACATAGATCAGTCATTGAGTTTGAAGATTACGGATGGTATACTGGTTAAGTTAACTAACAGGGCTCAAGGCTTTCTTCAATCCTTGACCCTGGTTAATTGCATAAGGATCACAGACAGTGGTCTGAGACGTGTTCTTCAAAGCAACCCTAGACTAACAAAGGTCAGTATTTGTAACGTGATCTCAAACCTGACACGTGCTTGTTTATTATCTGAAGATTTTCCATTGTCACTCACTTTCACTATATCTGTTTATTGTGTAGGATGTCCAGTTAGAATTGTGTGCTAAACAAGTGCATGCAATTAGTCTTTTTCTTTGTTTCTTCTCTTGATCTTCAGCTATAAAAGAATTGCATTATTGTTGTAGGGTTGATCCAATCTGAATCATTTATTGAAGACTTGAGAATATCAGAAAAAACAAATTATGTGCTTTTGAGAGATGTGATGATTAGAATCTTTATACATGGTGCTTTTATAATTATTTATCGTGAGGATAATGATCTGCTCTATCAATTGCCACATCAAATAAAGGCAATGTAAGCGTAATTGAATCTTTGCATAGGTTGATATAAGAAAAAAATGACAATTGAAGATGCTTTGATTTACGTATATACTATTTATTTCTACTGATTTTCTGTGAGTGCAATCAGTCTATACTCTATCATATATTTTGCAGCAACTCTTCTGTCTTTGTGCTTATTGTTTTGATATCATATGATTCTATACAAATATATCTTATATCATGGAATAAATATGGCCGTCTCTATTTAAGTGAGGAACTTAGACATGTGTTTTTCCCTCTTTCAGCTAAGTGTCCCTGGTTGTGTTAGACTGACTGTTGAAGGGATTTTAATCCAATTGAGGGCCCTAAAGTCATCAGGGAAACCTGGGATAAAGCACTTAGAAATTGGTGGGATTCCTAATGTAACAGACAAGGATTTTGAAGAGTTGAAGTTCTTACTAGATGTGGACAGGTATTTGCAACAGAGAGTGCAGAGGCCACGATTCTACCATGGATGGTATCCGTATGCCTTGGACACCTTGTGTGATGATGACCGCATAATTGACATAGAGCTCTGTCCTATATGCCAGAGGCCAAGACGTGTCTATGATTGCCCTGCAGAGAGTTGCCAACAGAAACAACAGGCTTCTCAGTTGTGTAGGGGTTGCTTGGCGTGCATAGAACGGTGCATCCATTGTGGAAAGTGCATTAAGGATCTTGAGTATGAAGAGACATTCTGTCTGGACTTGCTTTGTTTGAATTGTTGGCACCAGCTGGTGAGTTTTCCAGATGAGCCTGTTGGAAAGAATTCTTCCAGGCACACTGTTATTAGTCCAAGGACTATGTATAAGTTTTGTAAATTGTTTGAACCAGAATGTGCAAACTCGACTATGCCTGGCGCAAGCAGCGATATATTTGTAGATTGCTTGAACCAGAATGTGCAAACTCAGCTGTCTGGATCTTGAATGCGGAAGTCGAACCAGTTATGGATGAAAGTTACTTCTGTTAAGGATTCTGGCCCTCCTGTGCTAACTGACCATTGCATAGGATGATTGCAAAGTCAAGTCATATAAAGGTTCAAGCTTCGCATTTTTGAGGAACACAAACATCTATGAGATGGCCAGTCTTGACCCTGATAAATTGGCCTTTCGGGATAAGTATTGGGAGTCGTTGCATAACTCCACTGCAATGATGCCATCGATTAGCTGAACAATCTTCTAGTATTCATTGAAATGATACACACTTACCAACAGTCAATAACATCTAAAGTGTACAACAACAACAACAAAAAGCCTTTATCCCACTAGGTGGGGTCGGCTAAATAACATCTAAAGTGTGAGGGGAATAAATTTCTTCAGAGCTGATCTCCTATTGCATCATGTGCAAATTGTTGAACTGTCTGCAGATGGATCGTTTTTAACTGCTCAAGACAGGAGGAAGAAAGAAGATTTGATGATTCTGGAGGGAAATGAGAAATTATATTCCGTTAAAAGAAAAAGAAACGGAAATGATAATTTAATGTAGTTGTGGAGTAGACGAGACGCAGGCTCATGGCCTTTACTAAACTAGAGCAACTTGATGCGGAGCTTTCTGCAGGAAAAAGTTGTGTGAGAGAGTTGACTGACGTGAAGAATGTGTAGTTCTTGAAGATCAGCGTATTCATGTTGCTTGTGCACACCCTTTCTCAGCAATCCCTTCGCGACAAGTTGCCTCCTGCAATGGAAATCATCTCGAGTTCATCGGAAGAATACAAATGTGTTGCTGTGGTTCAGTGCAATGATGGCTGGAGTGGGACTCTCTGAAGGACGGCAACTGCATGACGTTGGGTTTCGAGCGGGGAGAATTGTGCTTGTTGGAGGTGTTGCTGTTGATGTTGCCTGTGATTGAAGCCGTAAGTCATTCTGAAGAACGGAAGACAGTGGAAAGAAGATAAACCGGAAGAACATATTAATGTTGCTCTTATCTGTGGTTGTGTAATAAATGAAGCAAAATCATACGATTGACACTTGGGACGTGTACCTTTTCCTAAGATGCGTTCATCGTTGAGCTCGGAAACCATCAATTGGCTACGGTATCTTTTCTTTCAGCAGGAAATTTAGGACGTAAGTGCGCAGTTGCCATGTTGCTTTACTTCCAACATCTTTTATTCATGATATATTGGGTTTTCTGATGCTTCTAACATTCATCTGTCAAAGAGGGGAAATATGACTTACTTGAATTTTAGTCCTTTAAGATTTTTGTGAGATTTAGAGAAATTTACTTACAGCGCTAGCAAAGCAGAACTACATTTGTATTTATTAAATAATTTTTAGAATTAATTTATGGAAAAATTAATCTATTTTGGGGTGCCTTTATCTCTTGCTAGCTTCTAGTTTGACGCGAGCTGGTGTTTTCAATTAGGCCGAACGAAAATTGGAAAATACGTCTATAGGATTTTTTAGATTTCTAGAATTTGTATAATTGAATTTTTCAGTTACTGGAAGTTACAGACGGAAAATGAGGTGAAAACAGGTTTCTCAAGAAACCCAAAAAAAAAAAAAACAGGTTTCTCAAGTCTAATGTGATTTGTATTTAAATATATATATATATATATTATTAAAAATTAATTTAAAAAACTGAAATTTGTTTAAATAATATAATTCAAAAGCAAGTTTAAAACTGAAAACTTGAATTATATATATATATAAAATATATATAAGCTATACTATATGATATAAAATTTATTTTTGGTAAATAAAAATATTTAAATTAAAAAATAAAAGATAAAAACTATTCAGAACATTTTAAAATTACGTGTTATATTATGGTGTTTAAATTATGATAATAAATGATCATTGTTATAATATTATTATAAGAACATTAATATTATAATATTCATAATTACAATTAACCCTCCGATGTGGCCAAAAAACATTGACTCTCCTGACTCTCACTCAAAGTTGTTAAACTCATGACCAAGAATCCAAGACATAAACTCCAAATGTAAAATTAAATTATAAATTTATAAAATTTATCTTTATTAATAAATAGACTTTAAAAATATATAATTAAATAATATAAAATATCAAACATGATCATAATTTTATTTAAATATCTTTTAAAAATAAATTATTAAAATTAAATTAATCTACATTCATAATTATCATACTCAATATAGAAATTTTAAAAAGAGAAACTTATTTTGGCATTTTGGTTTTCTTTTGATTAATATTAGTTTTTTTTAGTGTTTTTTAATTGAATCAGATCCTATTGTTTCTATGAATCAAATTCTATAATATGTATATATATTGTTCAACGAGTTTATAAGTTAAAAAAATAAAATAATAAATTTAACAAAATTAACTTGTAAGTTTAACTAAATTTTATTTAGTTTAAATTTATAAGTAAATTAATATAATTTTATAATTAAGAATAAAAAGTGATAAACTCATATAAATTAATTTAAGAGTTTGAAACAATGATCTTACTTTTTTAAATGTTCCTTTTTCAGCTTGCAGCGCTTGAAGTTGACTTTCCTTTTCTTTTAAGTCTTGTTAGTCACTCCCCTTACTCCTCTTCCTAGCTTATCTACCCTGTATCTCAATTTCAATGGTTGAGATTTATTGTATTATAAAGTTATTATTGTATTAAATAATAAATATATTTATAGGAATAATATTATAATAAATGTGATATTAAATAAAAAATAATTTAACAAATGTAAGGTGTGAGATATTATAAATATTTATTTGATATTATTGTTATAAATAAATTTATTCTTTCATACAATAATACTTTATTATGCAATGAATCTCAACCATTGAAATTGAGATTCAAAGGTGAACAAGCTGAGAGAAGGGTAACCACAGTGATTGGTAGGAGGAGGGAAGCCAATTTCGCAGCGCTTCTTCCTTGATGCTCAGCCACTTCACGTTTCTTTCTTCTCACTTTCATTCATATGGATCATCAGACTCCTTTTCTGTCCTCTTAAGTCTTATCCTTACTAGGATGAAACATAGGCAAGGAGTTTATTGGCAAACCTATAGCCTGGTTAGGCTAAGACTTATAACTAGCACTATTTAATTAAATAGGTTAGGCTTAGTTGCCCAAAAGGTTGGCCTATTTGGCCATGTCTTGTAAGATTAAGAGTTATTTTTATCTTTAAATGTTTGAAATTTCCTAACATGTCATCCCAATGTTAACACATTTAATAACCCATTATGTATGTACCATTTGCATTATGTGTAGATTGTGTTGAGAAAGAAATTACAAGAAATAATTTATTAAAAAGTCACGAGATAATATATTTTAATTTATGATTAGTATTACTTTATGTTAATTGTGTGATTATTGAAAAAATTGTGACTTGTTGTTAAGAAATTATTTGTTTATTTATAAAAAAAATTGTGAATTATATATTTTGAAATATTTTTGCCAAAGTGGGATATTATTTATAATGTTGTTAAAAATAAAAAAATTGTAAATATTATAATGCTGTATATTGTACAATATTGATATACAATTGTTTAATCTTATGAGAGGTGGTGGGAGACTTATTATTATTGCCATATTTTTTGTGTACTACATGG